AGCCATAAATAAAAACATAACTCTATAGTTATTCTGTACTTATATTAACAAGCTATGAACCCATTATTCAGTGGTTTATTATCCTGTTGATGATTATTTATTATTTTTTCTGGTTACAACAAGAAGGAATAATGTCTCAATGGCAAACTCACCAATGAAGGTTCTCCATAAATTATTTGGGTAGCATGTGAAAAGGACTAATCTTCAGCCCATAGGTTCTGTTTTTAATTCATTTTATTTCCACTTCAAAAAGTATAGAATTTAATAATCAAAGATATTTGGAAACATCAAAACAAAATATCTGCATTTGTATCAGACTTTCAAGTACAAATGTTGTCTTGATGTTTTTACGAAATGATGGTAGTGAATTCTAACACTTGTTATGACGTTATCTATAGATGGTTTGATCTCCTTTGGGATTTTATACATACCTACACTCATGTACATAAATCTGTCTATTAACAAATAGCTCTAGCCTATCACAGATCATAGATTTAGAGATAGAAGGGACCTTGGAGGTCATCTAGTCTTGTCAGAGTTTTCCTTTTCTTGGTGGTCCTGTCATTCTATTTCATTTTTCCAAAGTTTTTTTCATTGTATGTTTTGTTACAGATGGTAAAATTGAGGCCCAAGTGTTTTGTCCAAGATCATGAAAAGGGTAAATGGCAGATTAAAGATTCAAAACAACTTTCTCTGTCTTCTGACTACAAATTAAAGGTCTTATGAGTAAAATAAAAATAATTTAGAGCTAGTCAAAATCACAGAAAGTGGTATTATGCTTTGAAAATAGATATAACAGTAATAGAAATATTCTGATGACTTCTTATTTAGAATCAGACATTCAAAACACTTTTAATTTAAAATCAAGGAATTTTTAGACTCAGAAAGGAAACTAAATTATGGCAATTGGGCAGAGCAAATTTCCTATCACTTGGTTTATGAGGACTAATGCTTGAATTTTGAGTATTTCAAATTCCTTTTAAACTTGAAAAAATATTTAATAAATATTAACAGAATTTTTCTAGGTTTCAAAAAATACAAAACCAAAAATTGACCAATCTTGTACAAGGAGGTATATGGACATTCTAGTAACTTATGAGAAATGAATATATATGTATGTGTATATATTTGAATGTATATATATATATATATACACACACATATGCACACATATACATGTATGCATATATGTGCACAAACAACTTTCTAATTTCCCAGACTTGGAAATATCTAGGTGTACAAGCTTTGAAATATGTCCAGACAATATTTGTGTAACTGCCTTATGCAGTAAATATTTGACATCTCTATTGGACAGAGAGTTATAATAGGCAAAGGACATAATGGTTTTGAATATAGACTCCTTCACAAAATCTTATTAAGGGATATTGTGTTAGATTATAGGAATTATCGCCTAATAAAATAGTGAGAAACAATAAATGAAAACATATATATATGTGGATAGATAGCTAGATAGGTAGGTTTATAGATAGATAGGTAGATAGCCTGGTAATAGACCCAACTAATTCTGATCATCCTAATAATCTTTAAGGAAGTAAAAAGGGAAAAAATTGAAAAAGAAATTATATTGCAAACTCTTCTCTCCATCAATGATAGCAGTTACCACATTTGAACTCACAGTCCCTTACATGCTACATGACAGGGCAAGTATATCTGGAATAGGCTCTACCCAGTGAAGGTCCATGCTGGAAGCAACACAGTTTTGAAGGTGGTTAGGGTCAGTATTCAAGGTATGTAGAAGAAGAGAGAATATTTTTGGGAAATTGCTTATGAAGAAAATCACAAACCTAATTATTTACCAAGAATGGCAGTTGAGAAAGTAATGATGATCTCCAATGCATACGAAATCTTTATGAAAATGATCTACATTTTTGAAAATAATCTCTTTAATGTTGAAAAATGGGAAACCAATAAAAGTAAAGACATTTATTCTATTTTGTTTTCTTAGGAAAGTCTATACTGCCTTATTGCATATTGTATAATAATCACTATCTTAGAAAAAATCAAAATCATAGAGTTCCTAAACCAGAAGGGAACAACTTACAGTAGATATAAGTGTGATGTAGAACATTATTAATGTTAGTATATATATCTACAACAGATATGACTAGAAAAAGATCAATCATATAGGAAGAGTAAGGGATACCAGCCCAAGTGTTGTATTGGTAGCTACTCCATGTTAAAAACAGAAGAAAGCTTTGGAGTCATTTTTATTAATCATCTTGAGGCAGTGAAGTAGAGAAATGGACATATCACTGGACTGGAGTCAGGAAGATCCTGAGTTCAAATTTGGCCTCAAAGACTTATTAGTTTGTGACCTACAGCAAGTCACTTAACCTATTTGCCTCAGTATCCTTTTCTCTAAAAGTAAGACAATAATAATACTTATTGTTGTTATGGAGATGAGATAATACTTATAAAGCTATTTGCAAACCTTAAGGTGACATGTAAAAGGTAGCTATTATTATTATTATTATTATTATTATTAGTTAGTAGTAGTAGTATTAACAATAATTATCATGGCTTCACACAAAAGTGTTAAACATGAGCAAGCTGTAAAGTTGTTATGAGACCATTGTTTAATAGTACTTAATTCTTTCACTATCAGATTAATCATGGAAGCCCAGAATGATTGAAAAAGAGTCCATCTAATATACCTTCATCTTGATCCATCTGTATGCTTTAAAAACTCCTAAACCTTAAATCATTTTAATCAACTAAATATCTATTTTCTTAAACATCCTTAGTAAAAAATTTCTCTGGGTAATTACCTGATAAAAATCCCATCTTCAGCTTTGTCTGTGAAGACAAAGTATGAGAGTGCAGAACTGAGTGGGTACACAGTAAATTATGCTTTTTGATTTACTAAATGTATGCCATTATTACAAGATCACAGGTTCATGAGTTAATAAAGCTTCAGTATCACTAGCTTAGATCTGCTTTTTTTTTTAAGTGAGAAGCTTAGCCCAAATAGGTAAAGTCACTTGCGTATGTCACCTGGGATATTTGAAACACCTCTCTCATCACCCTAGTATATTCAGATAATGGAGACAGAAAGATTATGCCCCAAATGATTGCTTTCATTTTCAAAACATTTAAGTACACTGCAGAAAATACTTTGTTAGCAACTTTTGTGCCTGCTGTTTCAAAAAAAACTTCCAGTAAGCTATTCTTCTTTCAACTAAACACCCTTGATGCTAGCTATAGACATTGTTTATTTTGTACAATTTATGATCCTTCTCTTCTGTTTCCAGGCTGCTTCAAGCAAGTCTTTACTAGAACAGCCCTAAAGCCATCAAAGAATTTCTCCCCCTTAAACTCACAATCAAACACTTGGCATCTAGTCAGTGCAATATGTATATTACCGATAAGAACTGTGCAATTTCATATCCCTCATACATAGTTGCATGACTAATAATCCCAAGAAACTAACAGAAAATGTTTTCTAACAGCATCATGAGTTTCTTGTCTGCATTCTTTTTCTTTAGTGTTCAAAGAAAGTAAAGAAAAAGAAAGATCCTATCACAGCATGGAGATAAAAATTTCAAATAGCAAATTGTTCTAGTTAGTAGGCTCTTTCTATCAGCATAAACAATATTTATGTAGGAAAAATAGATACATATACATAATAAGCATATCTCTAGTGCAGAAGGATTGGACAGTATCATTCTTACTGATGATTATCATACATTCATCTACAAACAAAATCATGGAATAACTGATTCTTAAGTTTAAAGCCTGGAAACATTTTCATAATCATCTTACTATTTCTCCTACGGTAGGTAGAGTTAAATTAGAAGAACTTTTAAAGGTTCATATGAGACTTTATACTTATTTTGTTTCATTTTTATAAACCTGGTGGTTATTTAAAGTTTGTTGATTGATTAATTCTTCTGTCTAGCTGTTAGTCCCGTCTTCTTCCTCAAGTTATCTTGTATTTGTTTTGCTGTATCCCTTCCTTTAGGTGAACATAAGTATGTAAGTTTCTTGTTTGCAGGGACCATCTAATTTTTGACTTTTTATCCCCAGAACCAAACACAGTACTTGGGACTTTATAGGTTGTTAATAAAAATTTGGATAGCACATATTTTTCTTTTAAGGATTCAGTACTTATTTTTTTAATGTACATGTGGGGCTGTTATAGATAAAAGGGATTGGAAAAGACTTCCACTCTAGGAAGAGGTGAGATAAGATAGATGTGTTTAACCCAATGACTTTTTTTTAAAATAGATGCTACTTACAATATTAAAGAATTATTCATTTGTTAACATACCTCCTAGTTTTTTTTGTTTATTTAGCATAAATGCATATAGTGTTGTGTCAAAAATTTTTGTTTTAATCTATTGACATAATCATGTGATTTTAGTCGGGATAAATGTAGTCTATTATGTTTATTATTTTCCTAATGTTGAACCCATTAGATTGTAAATGCCTTAAGGGCAGGGATTGTCTTTCTTTTTTTGGCTAGGCAATTGGGGTTAAGTAATTTGCCCGGGGTCACACAGCTAGTTAGTAATTGTCTGAGGTCAAATTTGAACTCAGGTCCTCCTGACTCCAGGCTTGGTGCTTTATCCACTGTGCCACCTAGCTGCCCTCAGGGATTGTCTTTTGCCTTTTTGCCAGTCCTTAGCACAGTGCCTGTCACACAGTAGGTCCTTAATAAATGCTTATTGATTGGTCAAACCAATCTTGTATTGCTGTTGTAAATCCAAATTCATAGTAAATAATCTTTTTGGTAAAGCCTTTTTTAAAAGGTACAGAAAAAAAAAAGAAGTGAGTTGGGACAAAATAGAGCAATTTTGTTAACTACCTTTTAAATTTAACATTTAAAAACAAAGAAACTACATAATAGGATTTCACAATATTTTAGCCGATCCTTTTTTTCTAGTTCTTTGTATGTTAAAATGTGTTCATTGAAGATCATGTTAAGTTTAAAACATATACATCTAAAATATGTTACCTTCTACAAAATGTATTTTTAGATGCCAGTGTGAATCGGTATCATGTACAATGGTTTGCAGAATCATGTGCCCATAATGAAACAAGCGGACCTGAGAAAGCAACTGGTTTGGCCCATGTAAGTTGAAATTTCCTAAAAGTTATAGTTTTCCAAAAGTTGGAGTGGATGCCTCAGGAGGTAGTAAACTTCCCATCTCTGAAGTTCTTTAAATAGAAAACGAGTAGCAACTTGTTTGCAGTTGTCGTGCCTGCAATGCAACTATAGTTACAAAGAGGAAAGTGAAGGAGACAGGAAAGTAACAAGAATTTACTAAGCAGGTCTTATGTTCTAAGTGTCTACTTTATGAGCATCTCATTTGACCTTCACAATGACCCTTGGGAGGCAGATGCTGTTACTATCCCCGTTGTATAGGTGAGGAAAGTGAGACCGAAGTTAAGTGACTTACCCAGGATCACACAGCTAAAAAATGTTTGACGATAGATTTGAACTCAGGTCTTTCTGTTTCCAGATCCAGCATTCTAGCCACTGAACCATCTAGTTCTCTTATCAGTTGGATTAAAATAGAAAGATTACTAGACTTGTCAGAAGACTTGAATTCAAGTCTCAGCTCAATTTAGATTAGAGGTATGACCGGGCAACCATGATCAGAGATCTAGAATTGGAGTGATCTCAAAGACCATCTAAGTCAACAGCTCCATTTTATAGAGGATAAAACCTAGTCCCAGTGAGATTAAATGATTTGCCCAAGGTCTTTTATATAGTGTTAGAGGTAGGATTTGAATCTAGGTACTCTGGATTGAGAGAGTTATTCTCCTCCGCTATATCATGCTAGACTCATTTAAATTCTCTAGATTAAGTAAAATGAGGGGATTTAGGAAGAACATTTAAAAAAAATTCCTTTTATCTCCCTTCTCTAATAGTGCATGATTTTATGACTTTTGTGGCCCCTTCCACTTCTTAAGATTCTATGTTTTTAAATATAAACATCTTCTTGATCTTCTTATGTATTTCAGGAATATTTGCCATTTAAAGATTGAATATATCTTTTTGGAAATTAGTCATGTCAAAGGCAATTTTTGTAATGCATAGAACCTAGCATCCTAAATATCCTAAATATTATGAATACTTGAATTAATATAAAATTGGATAAAAAAATCTGAATTTTTGTCTGATTTTCTGAAGGTCTTAATTATCTGACTTTTCTTCACTGAATTTCTATATAATCATCATGCTCCGAAAGTGTCAGTGGCTCCCTTTTGTTTTGAGAAAGTGGGTACAATTTGTATCCCAGGCTCCCAACACTGTCATTCCAGAACACGTTTCTAGCCTTTTGTCATAAGATTCCCTTCCTGTTTTTTCTTTTTTTTTCAGTAGCCACCATAACAAAAAAAGAATAAAAGTCAGTGTTAGGCAGACAGAAACTCAGTTACGTTGTTGGTAAGCTTAGATTAGTACAACCTATAATGGAAATCAACCTGACAATATCAACGCTGACAATTGCTCATTACTTAGTGTATCCCAGATCTTGAAAGTATCATTTTCAATTTCTTATAAGTAAGTAGAATAGAAAGAAGCCAGGGGAGCCAGTCCTCCTCAAATCCCCTCAAATTCAATTCAATTCAACAGGCATTAAAAAATAACTATTTGCTATGCTATGTTTAGAGTAACCAGACCTGGGGTCCCACCCTTGGCTTTGCCACTGACTGCCCGTGTGATGTTTGGTATACAAAATAATGTCTCTTGTCTCTAATTTCTTCATCTATAAAATGATAGTTTTAGAATATGACCATCAGGGCCCCTCCCAGTTCTAAATTTATGAATCTGTGATCCTATGGCTATTTTAGGTTATCTTCATATCACCCAGAGCTAGCACAGTGTTTTACACATGAAGTGTTAAAGAAGTATGTTGAATAGAATATAAGATTCTTGAGGGCAAAGACTTAAAAAAAAAACCTTTATATCCCTAGCATTTGGCTAAGTGCCTGACGCATAGTTGATGCTTAATTAGAATTTGTTTCATTGAGTTGAATTGAAGTTGGATTGAAATAGCTCTGATCAAGTCATTTAATGTTTCTTTCTCCCATGTAAAAGACCCTGTCCCACAGAATTCAGATGCTTGTCCTTGGAAGAACTTTCAATTCCTTGGAAAGAGAAAATCTGAGATAAAAACTATTCCAATTATTTGTGTATTGTGTATTTGTATATCCTAATTATTAATGAGGATATGAAGCAAATTTCTCATTGTATTCTGTGGAAGTCAAAGAGGGCAAATATCTTCTGGAAGAAAGGGAGGAAGGAAAGATTTATTAAGTACTTACTATGTGTGCTAAGTGTTTTTCAAATATATGATTTGATCCCCATAACAATCCTGGTTAGTAAATGCTATTATTACCCCCATTTTACATCTGAGGAAACTGAAGTATGCAGAAGTTTTGACTTGCCAAGTTTTACACTGCTAGTTAGAATCTGAGATTGGATTTGAACTCTTCCTGAATCCAGGCTCAAAGCTCTATCCATGTACCACCTTTCTGCATCAGGGTAGTGTAAAGAAAGGTGACCATAACAGGTGCAGTGCTGGATACTTATCAAGATATAATATTGCACAGCTAAGCATTGGATAAAAGTAATGAATTGAAGAATTGAAGAGCCATAATCCTCCTTCTTTGTCATCTTTTAAAATTAATTTAGTCTTGAATCTTATTTTTATTTTGTTTTCTCTTTTTCTAGGATCTTGCCATGTGCCTTTTGTAGTTATATTAAAGGCTGTTTGCTCTTACATAATTTCATTTTCAATAGGTTTAAAAAAAATCAACCTTTATTTCCCCCCTAAATTCTCACCAGTTTTCCAATAAAAAATTCCCCAATAAGTCCTGTGTCTGGGAGTTTCAGGAGCCTAAAGAAGTACATTATTAGCAGTCTGTATTTTACTTTATAGTTTCCTTTAGTTGCTGTTATTGCTTGTTTTTTTTCCTGATTGCTTTCTGGTTCAATCTAATTTCTTTCATCTTTGGACCAATGAGATAACAGTAAATTATCAGCTATGAAGAACAATAATTACTACAATAATAAAAATAAAAACAATACTGATGCTAACAATAATAATGTCTTGTCTTTATATAGCATTTTAAGGGTGGTAAAGTATTTTACATATGTTATCTTATTTGATCCTTATAATAGCCCTCCAAGATGGCAGCTATTAATATGCCCATTTTTCAGATACAGAAACTGAAACAGAGAAGTTATGTGACTTGTCCTGGGTCACACAACGATTAAGAGTTTGAGGTAGGATTTGAACCTCAGGTTCCTGAAAAAAATTCTCAGAAGAATATTGTTTATATAACCCTAAATTTTATTGATTTCCATAAAAAATAAAGATGTATTCCTTAAAAGAAAAGTTGACTCCAAGAGATAAAACATAAACAAACAAATATGGGTTGTTTCTGTTCATTTTCTCCTTATCTCTTTTTCTTGCTATGTGAGAAAGCCTTGAACCATTCTCAGATAAAGGAGGATCATAGAAATTTATCTAGGAAGCAAATTCCTCTTTTTAATTGGCCACTACCCATTGCCCCATCATCAATCCCCATCTCCAATAAAAGTAAGCTGAAGGGTCTCCAGCCACACTTTTTTTTGACCCTAGACATTTTCTTTCATTTCTGTCTCACTGCCTAGTTGTTGTCATATTCCTCTCTGAAATTCAGCAGGCACCTCTATCTTTCTAGCAGAGAAATCCCTAGACACATTTTATGCTGCATTCCAATTCCAATGAGATGTAATAGATGATGAATAAAAGAAACACTATGTTGCATTAACAATACTTATTAGAGACTCAAAAATAACACCTGGGTCAGGTCTTTCACATGTTGATGTGATTCTAAAGATCCACACTATAGGATAGCAGTCAAATGTCTGACCCCTTAGCAAGTTAGTCTGGATCTGGGGTAAATTGTTTGAGATAATAGCATGGTTAGAAGCTGTAAGGGCAACAATGATTGTTATTAGGCCTTCTTGGGATTTGCATATGCTCTAAGAAAATCTGCTACATGTGGCTAAAGGCAATCTTTCAGAACAGCTTAAATAAGTTTTCTTAATGTAAAAATAAATTAGATTAGCATTTACAACTTTGCACTGCCACCCCCATTGCCACCAAGTTCAAGAGTTTGTTCCAAGTGTTAGAAGTTGGCGGCTTTGATGCAGAATGACTAAGGTATTGTTTAATATTAAAGGACATATCCTGCAGCAATGATAATGTTTCATGATTGTAATTAATCATAACAGACAGTTTCCCCTTTGTGGTTTTTATAAAAGCCATATTGAGTCATCTAAACATATAGCGAAAAAAAACTGTTTTTTGGAGGGAGGGGTAAAATGATTTTCTCTCCTGGCAATTTTGTTTTATCCTCAGTGAATTTATTTGCAGCATACGTGGTTTCTCTTGCTTTAGGAAAATTATATAATTCTTCAAGATCTGGCCTTTTCATGCAAATATAAAGTGACTGTCCAGCCAGCAAGACCCAAGGGTCGTTTGAAGGAAGAAAGTATTTTCTTTACCACCCCACCTTGCTCTGCTCTGAAAGGGAAACACCACAAACATAATAGCTGTCCTGGTGAAGGAGGTAAGTAAAGATTTGAAGAACCAAGTATACTTTGGAGTACGTCAAACATGTTGGGAAAATAGAATGTATTTCACAAGACTGAAAGTTTAAAGTAGTGATTGTCTTAATGTCTTATTGTAACCTAATGGTCCACACTGGAGCTCTATTATGAAGTCTTGCTAGTGAAGTACTTGAAAAACAAATATCCTTTTTGCCTTCTTTTCTCCTGACTTCTTGTAAAAAGTGAAATTTTACAAGTTTTTTCTTTGATTTTTTTTCTCTTCATCCACTTTTTGACATTATTTATTATAAGATATGGTTCTTTGGATTTGGAGAGGGGGACAGAAAACAAAAGGGATCACCGAAAGTCTTTTTCTCAAAAAAGAAAAGAATGTTTTTGCTTGCAAATAGCATTTCACTAATACAAAGAGATAGCACTATATACTACTAGGAAAAAGAAGCCCAGAATAAGGCACATTTTGAGAAAATTGCTCAGATTTTTTTTTTCACTTTCCATCTTAGTGCATCAGATGTAGTTTGACTGAGCCTGAACTCTAGGTCCTAAAAGCCTAAAAGATTACAAATTCTAGAAGAAGGCAATAAGATCTGATTCACAAATTCATGAAAGGACCTACTTACATTGCTACTCACATAGTTGTAATACCATATTCTGTTCTTAATGCTGTTACAGGTCCAGTTCTTTCCAAAGTATTAGCCAAGCCTGAGAATCTGTCAGCGTCTTTCGTTGTTCAAGAAGTCAATATCACAGGACACTTTTCCTGGAAGATGTCCAAGGCCAATCTCTATCAGCCTATGACAGGATTTCAAGTCACTTGGGCAGAAGTTACTACAGAGAGTAGACAAAATAGCTTACCCAACAGCATCATTTCCCAGTCTCAGATATTGCCAGCAGTAAGTGTTGTAGAAAGAGGCACCTGCTTCTGCCATAAATGTTCATTGCTGAATTCAGAATTCAAATTTATGCACTATTGTATTCTGTGATACCTTGAAATTCTCTGCCCCACCCCCAATCTTTGAATGTGGTTTGTAAGCTCCAACACCCTTCAGATTCTGCTTGTGGTAATAGAGTAGTAAAGTATGCAGATGAAGGTTGACCACACCTGGCTCCAGATGTTCCATAGACTGCCTTTAGCTAGCAATGAATTTGTGACTGCTCAGTTCATTTTAAATAAGAGAAGAAATGAAGATAGCCATTTATTTGATAGCTTTGCAGTGACGTTATCTTGTCCATGCTGTGTGCAAAGTCTATGTTTGACCTCTGTACTCTCTCCTCAATTACCTCAGAAGTGATTACTACTTGACTTTATCCCTGAAATATGACTGAATTAAGAGATAGACTATATAAAGAGTTGAACTCACTTCCAAGCCACTTACTCTTTGGGGAATTGAGTGGAGAAGGGAATAAGATGTGTGCTTTTACTCTCTTCAAAATTTACCTAGAGGGCAGCTAGGTGGTGCAGTGGATAGAGCACATTCCCTGAAGTCAGGAGGACCCGAGTTCAAATCCAGCCTCAGAACAAACATTTGACACTAGCTGTGTGACTCTGTGCAAGTCACTTAACCCCAATTGACTAAAAAAAAACAAAACAAAAAGAAAAAAACAAAAATTTACTTAGAATACTTAATAGGAAGGGAAGGGAAAGGAGAAGGAGAAGGGGAAAGAGAAGGGAGGCAAGAGAGAAGGAGGAAGGAGGAGGGAGAAAGACAGAGTTAAACACAGATACATGAAGACAAAAAGGGAGTGAGGGAAGGAGGGAGGGAAAGAGAGAGAATAGAGTGAAACCCTAAAAGGAAAACTTCATGACATTAGAAAACAGTCTGTTTTCAAAGATATTCATGTCTGTAATGAATCTAGGCAAATTTTGGAAGAATTCTTCTCTGTAAAGAAATAAGCATTTAAGGTCATAGACACTGACATATATTGTGCTTTAAGGAAAATCATTGGCTATTTAACTAAAATTGGAATTATCATGAATTCACATCAAAAGATGTACAGTTGAAAACTTAAAACCATGGGAAAGTCTTATGCTAAGGCCAACAAAAAATTTGAAATCCCACAAGTGAACCTTGAGAATTGGCATCTTTGCAGATTTGCTCTTTGCCAAATGTCTGATACTGCCAAGAATTTAGCTAGGTGCTAAGAAACTGTACAGTGGAGAACCCAAGCAAATTAGCAGAAACATTCTTTTTTTTTTTTTTTTACAAATTTAAATGTAGTTCCAAAATTCAAGTGAATATGTATTACTGTAAGCAAATGGCCTCATATAAGGAACAAAATATTTCAGAGAAAGCTTTAATTGTGTACTAAATCCAATTATTCATTTTCATCTTATTTAACTCTTTAGGATCATTATGTGCTGACTGTACCCAATTTGAGACCATCCACACTCTACAGATTGGAAGTGCAAGTGCTGACTACTGGAGGGGAAGGGCCAGCTACAATAAAATCATTCAGGACACCTGACCTGCTGCCATCTTCACCTCACAGTGAGTATGGAGGCTTTTTAAAAAATCCTGTTGAGCTGACTAGGAACATAGCATGTTATTAATTACAATCCTCTTTAAAATAAATAAATTGTGGAAGCTTCATATGAAACATGCACTTTTCCTTACTTAAAACTCTCCTTATGAGGGGAGTTGAATGATCATTGATATTGATTTGACTTATTTTGTAATTCTACAGGGGCATTGTGTATGTAGCAAAATAGGCTCTTTATCCTCTTTCCCTTCCTTCCTTCCTTCCTTCCTTCCTTCCTTCCTTCCTTCCTTCCTTCCTTCCTTCCTTCCTTCCTTCCTTCCTTCCTTCCTTCCTTCCTTCCTTCCTTCCTTCATTCCTTCCTTCCTTCCTTCGTTCCTTCCTTCCTTCCTCTGTTCTTCATTTTCTCCTTTCTTCCTTTCCTCCTTCCTTCCTTCTTTTCTTCCTCCCTTCCTTTTTATTTTATCTTATGCTTTCATAATATAAACATTGTTAGAGTTGGGAATAGGAGAGGGGCAGAGAGGCAGTAGGAATCAAATGTTTTTTATGGAAAAAATCACAATTATCCAATCTGTTGAACAGATATTTATCAATTGCCTACTATATAAAGCTATAATATGCTTCTTTTCATTTCTTAGGACCCCATCTTAAACAACATCATCCACATCACTACAAGCCTTCTCCAGAGAAATACTAAAATGAAACGATTTTTGAAGAGTGAAGGAATAGACAACTACAGAATATTTGCAAGACAACTGGTACTTTCCCATCCTTATCTTGCCTAGTTGAAGTTACAATCACATATAATTCATTGATAACTCTGCATAGACCTTTTCCCCAATACATGTGCCTGCAATATTGCATGCCACAAGCATCATGACAGTAGTTTCCATATTCTGCCAACTGAAGATGTAAAGCACCTGTGTCACTATGAAGAATATGCCTATTGTAACTGAGATTTTGTTTCCTATACTTAGACTAAATACAAAGGGTGCCACATGTGTCTTTGATGATCTTTGGGAAAGGATCTTTGGAGAAAAGTGATTTTTTACATATGACTGGCCAGTGTAGAACAGCTTTGGGTAGATGATGATGTAAGCGAATATGGAAGGAATAAATGCACTAAAAAATAAGAGCAGTTATAGAGATCTTAGTCTGAAAATACATGAATAGTTGTCAATTTAAGAAAATATTAGTTGGGGGAAACCAATGTTTAAACATTTTCCCCAAGTTATATAACAAGTGCTATAGTTAGGCCACATCTGTATTATCAGTTAAAGACACCATTGGGAATAATTTATATGTACTTATAGTGAATAGGTACATGAGATGAACATTTGCATAACATTTAAGTATCATTACCATACCCACTGACCTCCTAAAATGCTTAATATTTAGAGTTATATTCTGCCCTTGAACATCCAAGTTAATGTTATTCAAAGTCTATTCTGATGCTCACATGTATTAGCTATTATTGTGATGCCACCTTATTTAGGTAGTAACCAAAATATCCAAGCAATTCATTGATTTAGCCCTAAGAATGTTTCCCATTCCTTCTTTAGGAAATCAATTATTTCACTGTCTCCCAATCAAATAATCAAGGTTTTATTTATGTCTAGGAATTTAAACTCCCCAATTGTGTAATGTTATTTCTTCTCTGATTCATTCTTTAGTTAAGGAGGAAAACTGTTATTTGCATCCATTTTCCTAAAATGTTCATATAATTGAAGACTTATGTTACCTCATTCTTAAAATGAAGACAGTTCCAGTCCTAACTTTTTCTAATGCTTCATGCAGAAGCATATATAGATGGATTTTTTTAAGCCAAGTGCAATGCTTTCATTAACAGGAGAAAAATAATTATACTGCATTTGACTCATCCTATGAGCTCTACAATTTTCTATTCTTTTGAATAAATATTTTTCCATTTGAATCAATAAAAATTTCCCTAACTATTCCCAAATAGGAAAAGGTCAATTAATGACATTATCAGAATATCTGATTGCTATGGTTATTAGAGAAATAAGACTCCAGGATTTTTTTCAAGAGATACATATCAAATAGACACAAAATAAATGCAAATATATACACACACATACATGTGTGTATGTATGTATGCATACATTCACACACATATGCATGCCATATTGGACTTAGTTCTTTACTAGGAAATGCTGAAAACAGATCATCCATCTGGAAAAAAAAAACACAATCCCAGGAATCCTGCCAAAGACAATAAGAATTAATGAGAGGAACTTAATAATTAATTTCCCTCAAAGTTTTCTATTGTTTAAGAAGATAACTATAAATTTATTTTTTTTAAGTGCACAGCTTTCATGTTGAAGTTTACTGGGAAAAACATGTTTTAAGATTTTAGGATGCACATTCTCATTCTTACCTCCCATGCAAAGTTATCAAATCTCATTTAATGATTTTCTTACGGGTACAAAAATTAAGGGAACTGATATAGAACTTAGAATTCGTTGAATTTATGTGCACACACACACAAATGTAAGATTATTTATCTACCCATCTATCTATCTGCGTATCTGTTTCTATTTACCCAGATGCTATATCTAGGTTTTATTTGTAAGACTCTTCACAAGATTATCGAACCCAGAACTTGATTTTTAAAATATTTTCCTTTCGTTGTGAACAAATTGAAAACTCCTAAGGAATAAACTCAGTAGATCATGTACATAGCTTAAAATCCAAGGTCCAAATGAAAGTTTCTGTTGGTTTTGCAGGCAGCTCTTAATTTAGATAAGCATATATATAAACCTTGGGAAATACACCAGATTTTAAGATTTAAACCATTTTGTTGAAGGAAACAAGAAACTCATGTTAAAACACATGGGGCATAAGCAAACATAATACAGAGATCTCCTTGGAAAACTATGCTAAATTCCAGCACTGATGCCAACAACCAGAATCAACAATAGCAAAAGTTTGAGAGGGGAAAGAAAACACACACACACACACACACACTTTGTGTGAAGCTCAAGTTTATCTTATTCCTTTTTTTGTCATAAAATCAATGCAATCATTCTTTACAATCTGTTTTATTCATGAATGATTGAAATACAGAGGTCCAAAGATACTAATGAGATTGGATGTGCATATGGAACTGAATTATTTTTCTTTAGTTTGAGCTAGCCAAAATATAAAGTATTATTTTAGAACCATAGGTAGAAGCTGAAATCCACAAAGTCAACACCATCAATTCCATAGTAATCAGGAACTGCTTATATCAACATCTGTTTCTTTTTTTAATCACTGTAACACATCATTCTAGTTTGGGTGGTGGTTTTTATGAAAAAAATATAGCCAATTATTGTATAAAAGGCCAGTTGTTTTGTATTTTCTTAACTTTCAATAAGTTCACATTGGCAAAGTAAAATCCTAATTTCACTTTTGTAGAACTGAAAACTGTTCTTTAAAAGGAAACAAATGTATTATTTTTGTGTCTAATCATGAAAGGTATCCTGCAGAAATTTATAAGGTATATTAAAATTGGGCAGATCTCACATTTAAAGACAACAATATTGCATTCAATAATGATAATCGGTGTTTATGGGACTGAAATAAATCTTTTAGCTGCTCAAAAATGAGGCACTGAAAATAGAGAAAAGATGAATTTTGTACTGTATAAACCACACACTTTTTCCTGCTAGAGTGTACATGTCTTGGATTTATCCTAGACTGTTTTATGAAGATTTTTTTTTCATCTGAAAATTTTACATTCTTTTTGCAAATGCTCTTGTGTTCTTTTGAAGACACATGTTACAATTTTCATACTATTTATGGGAGAAGGTCATTTTTATACTAGGTTATTTTGGAAATGTTTACAAATCAGAGTTCAAACTAGAACATATTATTGCTTCTTATAAAGCTAAAGGAAAATACATCAGGTATGACATCTTGATTGAGTAAGAGAGATTCTGCCCATATTAGGATTGTGGGAGAAGGCCTGAGCACCATAGTAAGATGCATAATTAATGTAAGGGGACACTGGGAACATAGGAGACAGAAGGAAAGTAATATTTTAAAAATCAAACACTGAAATAGGTCAACCTATCTCATTTCTCCTTTAGAACACACACAGAAAAGTTGATTTCTGTCTTGTGTGTCTATATAATGGAAGTGGAAATTTTATTTTTTTGTTCTTATTTGTAAAGGTCCATTGTGGTATTGACTTATTTATTAATGTGCCCTACATTTTGTGACATGTAATCCTTCATTTTTGTTGATACTGAAAATCCAAAATAACTATGTCATGTTTTGAGATCTTATACTTTAGAATCAGGAAATGAGGCTCAAAAGCTGTTGCATGTAGTTTAAAAATTTATTTAAGAAATGTAAATGAATTACCTGAAGATGTCAATTATTATATATGGTTTTGCATGCCCAAACTCAGTGCTCAGTTATCGGCATGAATTGTAATGACTGTCATATCTCTACTGAATATATTAGCAAGTTACACAATTTACAGAGTGATTAACAGAGGTTTATATGTAAAGTTATTTTTCTCCTTTACTTAATTATATTGTAGTGTGAAGATAACAGAACTGCTTATCTGTTACCCAAGTGGGCTGTAGAAATCATGTTCCCTGTAACAGTCATTTAAAGTCAATATTTATTTATGTATGTAATACAGAAAGTTTGATTTTTGTGTGTCTGTCCTGTTATTTACAGAGAAGAAATCTTCTTGTAAAATTTTTTTTGTAAAAAAACAAATGAAAGTATTTGTAAATAGTCTGATATTCTGTTACTCATTATTTTCATGTTAGAACTTGTACATATTGTTTAAGTAATAAACTATCTCTAAACCTGTAAAGGAAGCTGCATTTTTCCTTCCAAGGGAGCCACATTTTATTTTTTACCTTGAACAAATCAGAGACTCCTCTAACACAAATCAGATTTAAGTGGCATAAGTTTGGTCTATCAGTATGTCTGGAATTGAGGTCTGGTTAATGTTAAGAAGACGGCACTTCATTCTAATGAAAGTATTTTATAGTTGACAATCAACACCCCAGAAGCCTTTCATCACATTTAAAATCATTATTCATGATTCCTTTTCGTAAAAACTCTTCACTTATTTTCCTATTAATGTCAGAAGTATCCTCACTAATCCTATATAGCTTCAACATTTAAATATCATTAGTAAATGCTTCTATATCATAGTTCCATTATTAAGTTGAAAGATTACCTACAAATATTATTAATAAAGCATAATAAACACAGTACCTTCTATCGTGTCAAGTGGCAACAATATTTTCCCACACAATTCCTAATTACCTCATACTGTATAATGATTTAGTGATTAAATGACAGGGATATTTGTATTTTTAATACTGTTCACACATATATATAGGGACAAAATATTCTTCCTATCCATTTCTTTTTCATCTGCAAAAGTCACATTTGCTGTGTTCAGGTTCTATGACAAGCATGTATCTCATGACTCTTCCCATGACTCAGTTTATCTGAGTATCTTTACATATACATACATGTATATATACACATACACATATACATGTGTATATGCATATGCATATACATACATATATACATATACACATGTATATATACATATACACACACATACATACATACATACATATATATATACACTAATAAAGGATTCTTGGTTCGGTGGATAGATTCTGAGGGTTTTGCGAGTTTTGTTGGGAAAATGTTTTTATTTTCAGTAACCTGTAATGGAAATTAGTATCTTTTTTCAATAAGCAACAAAGCATTGTGTGTGTTTTATTTTTCCTCCTTGGGCTAGGCAATGGGGTTAAGTGACTTGCATAGGGTCACACAGCTAATGTGTCAATGTCTGAGACCAGATTTGAACTCAGGTCCTCCTAACTCCAGGGCCAGTGGTCCATCCACTGCACCAACAAAGCATTGTTCTGAGAAAGGGCTATACTATAGGCTTCACCAGACTGTCAAAGGGGTCTATGATACACACACACACACACACACACACACACACGCGCGCGCACACACACACACACAAAGATTAAAGACGTCTGTTCTAATGTAACCCCTGAATTCCTAGGCCCTAGGGATTTGCACTTGAAACAATTTATTGACCTTTACAATTTCTTCATCTCTCATTCAACTGTTATAACTAATCAACTCCTAGGTCAGACAACAAACATTCATTGTTCTAGACCTACCCCTACAACCAAAATCAGTTTAAGGAGACATAGATTTTTAGTATGGGTTCATCATTACTATCCATTCAACAATTGTGTGCTGGTCATCATGGAATCTCACAGAACCACTTACAAATGATAAAGATAGTAGTCAACTTTATATAGCTGATAATGAGTATATAAATATAGCAATTGTCTGTCCTGACCTTCTTCCACTGGAACCTTTCTCAGGCATTGGCCTCACTCTTCCATCTGAGCCATCCTGTTAAGGGTCCTCCCTGCTTCCCCCCACACCCCACCTCACTGAGATCTCCTTTGATTGAAGCCCTCCTCTTGCTATTAAAATTTTTTTCTATGTATCCTTCTGCCTCAGAAGCCTTGAAAATCAAGCCCTCTGTTCACTCTTTCTTGTTGCTGAGGTCTCTCCCTAATTCTTCTGTTGGAGCAATGCTGTCACCTAAGTCACTAGCCAACCTCCTCTTTTTTCTACCCTAAATTCTAACCCTCTTTGGAAGTCACAGATCTCAAGACTCAGAGAGGAGTTTAGAGGTCAGAGTTATCAGTGTTCCAGTGTTGTTGTTAGCATTATCTCAGATACTTCATAGGTTAAATAATGATAACACAGTTACATAGTACTTTAAGATTACAAAACTCTTCCAACAACCCAGTGAAGTGAGATTTATGATTATTATACCCCCAGTTTTATAGATAAGGAAACTAAGGCTTATAAAGGATAAGTGACTTCACCAAGGTCTCAAGGCTAGTAAATGACAGAATCAGATTTTAAACTTTGGTCCTCTGACTCCAAAGTCATTGCTCTTTCCTTTTATTTAGTGTTGGCTGGAAAACTACATTTATAAATTTCATTATATAATTTATAAGTTTAATTTTAATTTATAAATATGATTATAAATTTCAACATTTATAAAATTATTTTTACCAGAAAAATTTTTTCCAGGTTCCAAAGAACTGATTCATAAATAAACTTTTGCCATGTAACCTGTCTAGAAAGTGATCTCTGCTTGTACATGAATGCAGAGGAGAGAAGTCAGATGAGTTATTTTCGGTCATTAAAAAAATAC